TGACATACAAGCCGAATTAAATAAATAAATAAATAAATAAATCAAATCATTGAGGTATAGAAAATAATCCTAGGAAATAGTGTGTTTATACACTTTTATGCCAATGGAATATTACTTTTTGCAGTAATTTAATTTGGACTTTTATAGATGCCTCACTTCTTTTTTTTCTGAATTTTTTAAATATTATAAAATCATTCCCACGTACTGTAATATTGTAAAATGTACCTCGTATTATAATAGCAATTACAATGCAGTTATTAGAATTTAATTTCACTTATGAAGTACTCCAGACAAATATCTCTGACGGGAGGCTATGTTCTGAAGACATCAGATATTAACACTTGGACACTGATAAAAAATCTTATACTAAGAGCCAGAATTTTTGTAGCTTATAAATAGTTTATCTTGAGGTGCGAAAGACACATTGGTGATGGCTTAGGTTTTTAATTACATTTAGATATCTTTGACAAAAGATAGGGTGCTAAAGATAAAATGGTGTGCCACCCTGAACTCATGGACTTGTCAGGACCATAGCAGTTCTTCACAATTAACTCTTTCTTCTTGCCTGAATTCTGGATTGATCAACTGAAGATATTCTTTGTGGTTTTAATTATTTATTTCAATAATTTCAGTGCCACTCCTATGAATATAAAAACCTGATTAGGTATAGAATATTGAATATCTAATATCCCTAAAATGGATAAACTAAAATAATCACTATCCTTTTTTTTCCTTCAAAAAAGTATTCCATCGCCACCCATCCAATGCACGATGCCCATCTAAAGAAATCAGTTGCTACAGCAGTGTTTCTCAACCTTGACAACTTGAAGATGAGTGGACTTCAACTCCCAGAATTCCCCAGACACTCATTTTCAAGTTGCTAAGGTTGAGAAACACTGTTCTATATATTTTATATAAAAGGCCTGTTATCTGCTTCTCTTTCTCCACTATCCATTCCTGGAGGATTTGCCCGCTCCCTGATCATTTTGATCGCTTTTTCCTCATCTTTATCTTTCTGCGAATATTTGCAAAGCAAAGCTGGCATGCTTTCAAGTAAATGAAATGTACAGTTACTGTAAAGATCTTCGTAGTGGTATTCAGTGGTATATTGCAAGCAGCAGAAGCAGATTCCACAGAGGGATCTTTTTGCTCCCACCCTGCAAAAGCTACATCACCTAAAATTCATGCACAGGGTCCCCCAGTCCCCTAAAGGACACTTTGGGGCCACATGAGATGCTCCAGAAGAAAGATAGGTGAAGAAAATCCTGTTTTGTCAGTGAAAGTCTGGTAGCACAGCATTGATTTCATCTTCACGTTTGTTTCTTTGTTTAAGGCACATTTTGCAAACATCATGTAAAAGGACTTATTTAACAAAATAGTTCAGTTAATTCAGTGCTTCTAACAGTTCAGTCTTACCTAAAACAGTGGGGGGTTTAAATCAGCCAAAGATTGCTCCGTCAATCTTTTTACAGAATTCATGTAACTGTAACCTACCTCATAGTGTTACTGTGAGTATACGTTGTAAAGCAGGTGGGGGAATTCTGTATATCACATTGAGTGTCGTTTTTCTTTTGATGAAATGCAGAATGTATAAATAAAATTATAGATCAAGTAGTGAGTAGAAGAGCAATCAGTTATTATTGCTGTTTGCCATACATATGGAAGGTTCATTCCAATAAAGTTGTTACCAAGTCTAATGGCAGTAGTTTCCATTTTCTATGGAGATTGTAATAATTTGGGACATACTAAAATACCATGTGGAGCTTTTGTTTGATTTCAGGTCTGGCAGTCACACAGGAACTTGTTTTAAGAGAATATATCTATAATCCCATTGTGCTATGTATTTTAAAACAGTATTAGAACCAAGGAAGTACCTTTAGGCTATATTAAGTCTCCATAGGATGCTTGCAATTCAACGTGTTATTAAAAAAAACAGTACAACAGATTTTTATAAGTGTTAGTTGTACTTACAGACCAGAGTCTGGTAAATCCATAAGGATACATTGACATTTTTTTGCACTGTAACTAACATAGCTTCTGTCCACAAAAAGAATTTTACACTGTACAGTATATCCTGTGTTGTTTATTGAACTGAGGTAACCCATAAAGATACAGAACTCTAAATCGTAGCAACCAAAACATTTGCTCAGGTTTGAAAAGAACCTTCCTTTTCAGGCTGTTACCTTAGATCTTGTATATCTTACCAACATGAAATGTCTTGACCATTTTTTAAAATTTAAGTAAGGTATATAATATATAAGCTTAGAATTAGAAGTTTGTTCTTGATCCTGTTGGTATACTTTGTTTTTCCTATCTTCCTTTTACATCTCCTTGATAACACCTTCGTGTATTTTCTGCTTTTTTAAGATAATTTTCAAAGTTAAACTCTCAATATATTCAGCATCTCAGCCTTACTACTCATACTTCTCAAGACTATTCGTCTGAGCACAGTACCTCTAAAGTAATTATTTTTACTTGAAAAGTATTTGTAAACATTTCCCCTTAAATACATTTATTTAGGTGAGCATTGCTATTCGCAGATTTTTATGTAAATTAGATATTTTTGTGGCATATTTTTTTCTGATATAACCCTTAGTTTGAGAACTGCCACATAATCTTTTAGAAAAACTGCAATTTTTAAAATCATTTATTTATAAAATCTATATTCTACATTTTTGCTGGATTTTTCTTCCACACAGTCCCAAAAAGGAATTGTTCTTTTACTTTTAAATATATCTCAAGAGATAGTTTTAACTTTAAAGGTTAGTTTTGTTTTTATCTACATAGGTATTACTCCCACTGAATTTAATTAGGCTTATTTACATATTTTCTTTGCTTAAAACATTTATCCAATTTATTCCAGATAAATTCCAGCACTTTCTAATGCCACTAAAGAGAAGTGAAGTTACCATCTTTACATTCTGATTGGTCAGAACATATCAGTAAATAACCAAAAATCCATACAGGCCTGTGGTATTAACATCCTGCCATAAGATTATTCTCAGTGCAGCTGTGCTGCAGTAGAAGAGGGCTTAACCACCCACAACTGCTAATTTAGTCGTGTGAGTGACAGATTTACTATTTTATTTAATATTCATGCAGAGTTTACTGAAAATAATTTGCATTATAGTTTGGTGAGATGTTGCTTAAAGGAAAACATGCACACCCCCTATATCCCACCTTCAAGGTTACAAACCAAGATTCAGCACTGCTAAAGAAAACGATTGAACAAAAAGTGAAGGAGAAAGGTCAGTTTGACAGTGAAAGAACAAAGAGGTGAATTGTAAACAGCAACTTTCCTGGAACTCAGGCTGATTCGCCCATCTTGATGTTCTGCTGCACTAGATTATTACACAATTGGACAAACAAGGATGCTTTTTTCTCATCTGTGTCTCAGGAGACAACAGCTGGAACAGAGTACTTCCTGCCTAGGAAAGGTGATAAAAGTTTCATGCAGTTAGAAATGTCATAGAAATCTGCCATTGATTTCTAAATAAGTAGATTTGCAGGTTTTTCCAAAACAAGCATCACTACAGAATAGTTTTCTGTTCAAAAACTTTCATGAGAAGATATTGATTTGTGAGAAATCTGTTCAAAAGAGCATATGTTTCTGAGGGTTATGTATGAAAAGAGATGGATACGTTTTTGTTTTTCTGAGACAGAGAGCAAGAACTCTTTATATTTTAAAACTTTGCTTTGGGAAAATAAGCATGCAAAGATTTATTTTCATTTTTTGTTAGTTTATTGTAAAAAAAACTCTCAAGGAATTACATGCATATAAACTAGCTGCCTACAAAAGCTCTAGCTAGAAAAAGTTGCATGCATAGGTACATATTACCTGTATTTACAGATATTTTTAAAAATCCATTTAAAAACACTCATGGAACAGAGTATTTGTCTAATAATTATTAAATAGATTGGATTTTATTGATCCACTCATTCATTCATGTAGCTTCTTGGTTTCAAATCAGTGGATAGATCTAATTGATTGTACTAAAAGAAAAGGAATACAGTTTGTTTGCTATGGTAGCAACAACGCAATTGACAACTTTTGGAAGATAAAAATTTGTGTAAAAAATAAGATATTCAGTCTACTACTAATTAACCAGATTTTGCTATTTGTTATATGAACTTTGTAAACATTACTTTATAAAGTAAATCCATTTGTATCGGCACTGTGGAAGATTGACAAGGAATTAGTGGTGAAGTCATATGGAATCTTACAATTTTGTCCTTATGTTCTAATGTATGTCATTTTTGTCAGGGAAACAAAAAACAAATAAACCTGGATTCCTTTGCATGATAATCTTTCTGTTCTTCTTTTTAATTCTCTTTTTCAACCTTTACAGATTATTGCTCAGTGGTGACCATTGTAGATCAGTCCAGTGTGAAGTTGGTGTGTTCATTTTTTAATGCAGTCAGAGATGCCCTTCCACACATCTACAGAATTGGTGATATTGTTCGATTTCACAGAATAAAGGTAATTTGAACATACTTCCTGCCATGTGGTAAAAAAGTTGTTCTGTAGGCTGTTCAAAGGAAACAGAGCAGATACTTTTTGGCATTCATCTTTGACAGAGAGAATCCTATCCATTTATGGGATTGCTGATCCATATTGATCATTCCCACCCCATAAACTGCACTAGACGCCTGCACTTGGGCTTTGGGTAGCATGCTGGGGGATGTGGGTCTAAGGAAAAAAAAAATCTGAATTTAATTTTAATTGAATTACAATTGGATTACATTGATTACAGTTAATAGGATAACTATTTAGGAATGTTGCTTTCTACCACAAGAGACAAATTCTTAGACACTTCCTGGGCTTTAATAGACTGCACAACATCTTGAGTTCTCTGCTATAGTCATATGACTAACCATATCATTCTTGTAGACAAGCAGAACTGAAGGTTTGTTAGAATACTTTGTGCATTCTGTCTTTATGTTACAAGAAGGGTGTGTTTTTGTGTATGATCTGTCAGCTTGATGGTAGGTGGGTCTTGGACTATGATCCAAGATAGCATGCTTGTTCCTGTTAGATATTCTACTTCTGCACTTTAAAAAATGTTTTTATGTATTAAAGAAACACAAGCATTCACAAACATTGATTAGAGATACTCTTTTGCTGCCTTTTCATGGTCATTACACTCTCTCTCTCTCTCTCTCTCTCTCTCTTTCTTCTTTCTTCTTTCTTCTTTCTTCTTTCTTCTTTTTTTTTTTTG